ACTTCTGTTAAAACTGCTTTCTGAGATATTATCGTTAAAGTCTTTTGGTGTGTGACAACTTTCTTGTTGTTGCAGTAATATTTAAAAAAGGAATATTGTTGTGGTATTGAAAAAATTGTTATATATTCTGTAGTAGTAGTTCCTTCAAGCGATGCATTTCATGAAAATTTTGTACAAAATTCCTTAGGCGCCGAACGCCGCCGCCGACGCCGTCGCGCCGATATTTTCGTAACTCGGCGGCGGCGCGTGAGTAATGACGAAAAACGGCGGCGGCGGCGGCGTGGCTCGGCGGCGTATACCTCTAGTATTTACATATAGTTCGTTCTATTTTCAAAAGTGAGGTGTCAAATGACAGGGCTTGGCCTGTAGACGTGTAATAAAGTTTTTTATTTTAGGTGGCAACCCTATTCACAATATTTTTAAGCTAAAGCCTTCTTAAACCTCTTTCGTCTGACTCCCTTATGGTGATACCTATCTATTTCAATTACCTAATTCCTTTAGTTCAAGTGGAATTTGATTTTTAAACAGCATGCATGTAGTTAATATACATTTCGATTGATACCCATCTCTTAATAATTCATTTAACTTATAAAAAAATTTTATCTAATTTTTAAACAATCTAATTTCTTAACAGGTGGCAACTCTTAAAAAAAAATAAACCTTCTATTGTCCACAGGTCATTTTTGATAATGAAACGAATCGTACAGATCTCAAGGCACTGGCAAAAAATAAAAAAATCATTTTATGCATTAGCGAAAAACGCATTACTTCAGAAAGTGCAAAAAATGAGCTGGTTTTTATTTCTTCTTTTGAACGCTAAAAACCCGTACTATTTAATAAAATAATAAAAAACAACCTATTTTTACATATATTTTTTATTCATTCCATTAAAATTTAGCATTTTTTGAAATTTTGTTTAAAAAAATTGGTTTTCTGTGGTTAAATTTAATTTACTAAATTTTAATTCCTGTAATTCTCTACTATCTAATATGGAAACAAGAAAAGTCAAACCAACATTTTATTTCAAAGAATGTATTTTTGACATTTTTTTCTGTGAAGATCTTACGCATGGCTATGCTCTTATTAAAATTCTTAGTATAAAATTTGTTGACTTTAGTGGCTTCCTGGCGACATATAATTAAATTTTTAGAACAATGTCTGTTCTTTTCTTCTTCTTTCTTAGTGGATAAATTGTCTTTATAAAAATACCAAACAAGTTCACATTGCTGATAACGAATTTTTCGATTTTCGCCCACTTAGGCGGCACTGTGCAACGTTTTGATTTGATGGCACTAAATAAACCCTTATTAGTAGATAGCTTTGATTTCGATAAATCCAAAGGTTTCGAAATTGGTCATACGGATGTCGTCTTCGTTTTCGTGACTGTTGAGCTTGTTGGAGTTTTGTAAAACTTATTTGCATGTTTAAAAAAAAGTAAATAAAGAGGCATATGCTGTTGTGGTGTCAAATTAAATACAAACATTTGACGTAAAGTTGAAAATGCGAAAAAATTAAACGTTAAAAAATTAGCAAACAGCGTTTCAGTCTCATCGATTTTTTGCAGTGCAAATGTAAATGTAAAGAATTGCGATCAATTGCTCTGATTCAGTACTCCATGAAATTATAGGTTTTTACACGAACTTGCAAGAAGTTACAGGAAAAATGTTCCCGTACTCCAAAATCCTGTAAATGAGAGTGATGTTTGGAGAGTTGTGTGGAGAATGAAGTTGCATGAACTTTTTCTTCTGGTAAAATCTTGAAACTTGTCAAGCGATCAGCTGTTGACTTTTTATATGAGAAATGCTTTTTTTGTTCACGTACTTTTTGGTTGGTACTCACTTTTTACTCTCACTTCAGAGAGTAATTTTGATGTTTGATATTTTTACAGGATTTTACACGAAAAGTATTGGACCAGAGATATTATGAATAAAATCGCTAAATGCTGGCTAAGAGCTCCTAAATAAACAATAAAGTGTCGCTAGTCACCAAAATTTACCACTAAGTATAAAATAAAGTCGCTAGATCTAATGGGAAAATCGCTGAAATGGCAACACTGTGTAGACCGAATAAAAAACTAGAGAAGGGATATTATTACCTTATTTAGTGTGAATGTAAAAAAAAATATTTTTTTTAGGCGCCCAACCAAAACTTAGTATTTCGTGCAATATATGCATATGTACATTAGGGTGGTCCAAAAATGCTTTGAAAAGGTAAAGTCGGAACTTTTATGATCTCACCCCGTAGGATTGTTCCATACCGAAAAAATACCCTAATTTGTTTATTTTGAAATCAAAAAATATTTCGAGGTCGCTTAAGGCGCCTAAAGTTTTCCATGTATTTTATATGGGGAAAAAACAACTTTTCGTAGAAATGGTATAGAATAGTTGAAAATCAATATTTTCTACCAGAAAACTCTGTTTATCTGCAGGAGATTCCCTATTATATTACCCAATTGTTTATTTAACCATTTTTCATCGGAACTATAATTTATAGGTCCGCCAAAACCCCACAAAAACCCCGAAAACTGCAATGCAGCGACCAATAAAAAATCGTTAGTATTAAAAAATGGTTAAATAAACAATTTGGTATTATTACTGAAAGTCTCTTGAAGAGAACCAGAGTTTTCCGATCGAAAAATATTGATTTTCAAGAATTCTATACGATTTCTACAAAAAATTTTATTTTTCCCATATAAAAATACATGGAAAACTGTGAGCGCTTTGAGCGATATACTTTTTTCGATATAGAACAATCTTAGGGGGTAAGAGCATTATAATTCCGACTTTACTGTTTTTGGACCATCCTAATGTACATACGTATATGGGTATCCATATTTTTCAATATTTACGTAGATTTTTCCCAAATTAGCGATATTTGTCAAAACTATGGGAAGGGAAGGCAATTAAAAAGCAGAGCTACCTCTCGGCTTACAAAAATCACGCTCTACAAATCCCTCATGATACCCGTCCGTTTTATATAGCGCAAAACCTGGGCAGCGTAGAGAAAAAATTTGATGGCCGTGACGCTACATTGAAAACATACTCCGACTCGGCATCCTTTGGGTAACAATAAACGCAATGGCGCGAACGACCATAATAGGAGTATCAAGACAAGAGGGACTTGTGTGCACTTCTATGATCAACTGGAACAACTTCGCAAAGATAAAGAGGCTATTGGCGAAGCTGTTTGGTATCGGCCCAAACCGACAAACAATTGAAGTGCCTTATAAGAAAGGAGACATAAATACATGCCGCTGGTGAGGTAATCCGGCTGTACTTACGTCAAGTCGTTTGTGTTTTTCCATCCTCTGTTGTGAGCACCCAACTACTACAAAGTCACAATAATACTTTTGTTAATTCGAGCGGCGATTCATCCCCGAAAGCTACTTGCTTATCTTTCTCGCCTAAATCCCTGCCCACACACCTTATATTTCATAAAGCGTCAGACCAAGTTGTCAGCTGACCATATGACCTTTGGCTGGGCGGAGTTATTCAAAGGCCTCTTCTCGAACGAAGTGCTTTGGATACCGGGCGATCTATCAAGCTACTAAGCTTTATTCCTTTGAACACGTACATATCTTAAGTCCGTTTTGCTCCATCACGTCAGTTGTTTTATTCTAAACACGTGACGGACTTTACGTGAGGGACCTTATTTTTTTAAATATTAATGGATTTACTTTTATCTTGGTATCCAGGGGTACTTGGGCCCGCTGATTACGAACATGAAGTCAGTTAAATCAGTCAAATTAAAGAAAAAAATTTTGTTTTTAGATTTGGTAACTTTGACAGCCAATTTGTCACATTATGTTCGCCATGTTTTTTGAGGTTACAACAAAATTCTGACGGGGTGGATCAAGACGGACTACAGATTTGTGTTCAGCGATTAAGGCAAGCAAATCCAAGGATTTTCGGGACCTAACAAACACCGAAATCGCGGGATTGGCATCGCTAATACCTACATAGTTGTGTGAATAAAAATTCAACGACTGCACGGGCTTGGTCATGTTGTACGCATGGATAACGGGGCTCCAGTGAAAATATCCTTCCATTCGACATCCATCGGTAGACACCGAAATAAAGGGCGCACACGAAGACAATGGACGGACCAAGGGCAGAAGGACCTGTCTGCACTCGGGATGTACAACAGGCGTATCGGCCCAAACCGATTTCTAGACCTTAATGAGAACAATCCGAATTGTTGCTGTCTTCGGTCGCCGACCTACTAACATAGCCGCCATTCTTCAGACGCGTCCCTAGGTCAGTTGGGCGGGAGGTAGGTCGCGCAGAGGTTCGTCGTACAAAAAAAGTAAATAGGACTGGAGGGAGAACGAGTACAAGATGAAGTATCTATTGCAACACGTAGTCTCTTGATACACAAGTAGAATACCGCCGTGGACTCTGTGAACTGCTGAAACACATAGCGCTCTCTCGAGGAATGAAAATCACACGTATATAGCGCAGACGCGTGGACGATGGCAGGATCTGATGAGACGGCGCTAGGAGTGTTGAATATTAGATAGGTCCCTGATTCATATCTGGCTTGAAGAGCCTAGAAAGTATTCATAATGGTTGCCGCTGGTGATAGCAGTGGAAGGAGGTGGAGAAGGAATGAAGGTGGACAAACTCTCCTAGTTTGAGCTGAGTTAACTATATAGCAAATTCTCATATTACTTACCAAAAACAATAACCTAAAGAATTGGTATACCGAGAGATAGGTGGGCAGATTTTAATTGGTTAAGACGTACTAGTAACTCATTTTATATATGTAAATAATAGTTACGTTTATCAAAACTAGTCGTACTACATTCAAAACGTAAACATATTTAGAAGAGAAAAGTATTCCACTTGATAAAGAATAAGTATGAATGAAATATAAACAACACAAAAGATTTAAAAATTTGCCACACATCTATATTTGCAGATTTTTCTTGAACGAAGGAAACCTAAATCTAATATTCTTTACTTTTCCTCTTTCGCCATTATCTTGTTGGTGCATCGTAGGTCCGGGACTGGCATTTTTGGTGTATCCTTCGGCTGTGTTACAACTTCCTGGCTCACCACTATGGTCGTGTTTATTCTTCTTTATGCTTCTTCTAATTGGTCTCGATTCACAGTTTTGTACTATGGAAGGCTTCATTACTGCCATTATTGACGAGTGGCCACAACTGTTGCGGAAGCGCAAAGAAATATTCATAGCTGTAGTCTGCACGCTTAGTTATCTAGTGGGACTTACGTGTATATCACAGGTCAGTATATTTATGTTATGTTTGTACATGAGTGAGTGGAAAATTTAGCGTATTACTTACGGAATTGCGCATATTCGTGGAAATGCGCGTCAAACACTTATTTATACTCACAATGTGTGCTCTGTTTTCCAGAGCAGTTGCAAGTAAGTAAAAGCATGTTCACATTATCGTAATTTATGGCATATTTGTAATTGATAAGCAAATCATGCTGAAGTCAAGTAATTTCGCTTTGTAAAATCTATCAATAAATTAAATAGACATTAGATAATTTATCATAAATCAAGAACCAAATGAAGAAAGTAAAGATTTTTAATTTATTTTAGCCCCTTCTGTTGAGGAAATTTAAGAAAATGCCTAGAGTATGCAACCATTTCTTTTTTTAATTCAAGTACAAACCACACATTCCTACGTACACGTGTTAATCATATATCTATCGAAATTATGAAAGAAAATGTGAACGTGCTTGGATTATGTGAAGTAATTTGATCGAAACAAAGTAATTTATGCTGTAATGTGAACATAGTTTAAAGGTGGTTCTACTGTTCTCTGAAATTGTTTTATACATCCGTGTTCGTAAGGAATAGTAGCTTATGTCGAAAGCCTGGCTTTAGTATAATGCGGCATTCGCAGCATACGATTGCGAATGAGTCACTGGCGCCGATAACGTGCAAGAAATAGTTCCGATACTAGCAAGTCAATATTCTTATTAAAGCAGGGATCACACGATTTGTACATTTGTACACAAAATGCCAAATTTAGATTTGTCCACATTTGCGCATTTGGATAGCGATGTACAAATGATTTGTTTTGCGATCAGACGATTTGGCTGCCAAAGATCCAAATGATTTGGCACACAGCAGTAAAGTGACAAATATTGTCCACATTCATTCACACGATTAATCATTGCAGAGTGGCCAATTTTTCGAAAAAGCTGGCCAAAAGTCGAAGCGTGGTACAACTGTAATCAAATCTTGTGTATCCGTCTTTATTTTGGTTGCTGGTTTTAAATTTCACCACATAGTTTCGAAATTCAAAATCCATAATGGCCGCTGTGTACGCATAAAATAATCAGATTTTTATCAAAACTAGGGTAGTTAAGTGTAAAAGGTCATGTTTTCTCCTTTTTTGTTATATAATATGATGTAGCGGTTACAATGTACGCTATCATTCCGCAGGGGTCTGGGTTCAAGCCCAGTTTCCGACCAACATAAAAAATAAGAAACAAAAAAGTTTTTTTGTAATAGTGGTCGCCCTTTTACAGGCAATGGCAAACCCCCGAGTGTATTCAGCCACGGAGAACAGCTTCTCATAAAAATACAATCCCCGTTCGGATTCGGCGTAAAACTGTTGGGCCCTCCCCTTTGTGCGCCAACATCAAGGCGCACGCCACAAATCAGAAAGAAGCTCGGACAAACACTAACGAGGTTGATGTTCGGATCATCTAACAATGTTGATGTTCAAATTTACATGGGGGATAAATCAATAAACAAGACATACATATGTGTTGGTACAGGAATATATTTGTAATACAACAATTTTATACACTGTCTGAAGTATCCAAGCTCATATTAATATTTAATATTGTTCCATTCCATCATTTCTAAGACAACTGTACACTGCATCTGCAAGTCGTACGCAAATTGCAATTAATAATAAAAAGTTGTATGATTAGTTGAGAGTTGGTATATCGTACCTGTAATTTTACTCCCTTCTCCAATCATGTTTTGTTTTTTACAAGAAAGCGTACAGTTGTTATGTTACTCTTCTCCCATTTTCTTTTTATAGTAGTAAGTAAATCTTTCACTTTACTTCTTTGATCTGGATGGAGCGTGATAGTTTTATTTTCTTTATCAGATAAATGTTCCTCCAGACTTTTGGTTTTTACACCCACTTCCAAATGCAATTGTTTAAACAATGCATCGAAAATTTCACGCCGAGTGCACTTTTAGTAGTACTTTCTGACATCATTTAAATTCTAAAAACATCCAATCTTTAAAACATCAAAATCTTGACAGAAATAATTTTTTACATAATTTAAATCTTTTAAACATAAAAAAAAATTAAGAATCGCGTATAAACACTGATGTTCAAACTACAGTGGCGGCTTGTGGCAGGTGGTTTTAACCAAGTTGGATGGGAAAAACTTCAATATATATGGAAAAGAAAATTAGACCGCCCATCTGGACCACTCTCATAACTATTTTCCTAATTTATCATAATGAGTAAACAAAAAAAATCAATCCGTGGATATCTATGTCTTACGTTAGTTTTTAGATGGCGTGACAATGAAAAAACATGTTTTACATACTTTAGATTACAATATCCATGAACGGATGCTTGAAAACTGTAATTTTTTAAAGATAATACCACAACTTTAACAACGAAGAAAACTCTAATTTACGAAAAGTTTAGAGCGAATTGGTAGCAACAGTCACTTCGATCTCCTGTAACACTAAATGCATTAAGAGAATCGACTTGTTTTCTCACAACGATATGCAGTAGAGCCCTCTTAACAATATAAGATGGTTATGCATACGAATGCACCAATTTTTTCCGACTTTTGGCCAGGGTTTTCCAAAAATTGGCCACTGTGCATTGGGTCATAAATACTTAAACAGCTGAACTGGTGTCAATCATACTTTTACATTTATGATTTCGTTGGATTTGAAGTGAAATAAACAAAAATAATAAATACGAATAGGTACTCAGAGTTTTAAATACACCCTCAAAATCTGGGCTTAAGGCAAAAAACGGGTTTTTCATAAGTGAAAGCATATACTTGGTCGTAAATTGAGTTATATATGCTATCGTATTCTTCAACTACTATTCCATGTGTATGTGAAATCCCCATCGCACCAGCTAAGCTATTTAAAAAGTTATAGACAAACATATTTGGCTTTCCTCATAAGGTTAACATTACAATCCAAATGTTTATAACATTTTTTCTCTAATTCAGGTTTTTCGACTTAGGCGGTTATTGCTTATGTGATATCTCACTTAAATTTTAGTACTAGAAAAAGTGCAGAACATATTGGTCAAAGTCGAATGTCTCAGCCAAACCCTAATGGATTTTGAAAATTTATAGATAGTTAAAAACACCACTGCTTCTTATATATGTACATTAAAGTAATAAATAAATAAATTAAGGGCCTTATTTTTGAAAATCGCAAATTTGCGGGTGCTACCCCTTGAAATGGTTACATTTATTGAAAAAGGAATTCCCCAAAAATTTTGGCCCAATTAATCAAGTCTAACCCGTGCCACACCCATTTGTCGACTTTAAAGCCGCTTTTGACAGCACTAAAAGGAGTTGCCTATACGCCGCTATGTCTGAATTTGGCATCCCCTCAAAACTCATACGGCTGTGTAAAATGACGTTGGAAAAGACCTCTCCGAGCCGTTCGCCACAAAACGGGGTTTCAGACAGGGCGACTCCCTTCCATGTGACTTCTTTAATCTGATGTTGGAGAAGATATTAAGAGCTGCACAACTGAACCCCCCTCAGAAACAATTTACTACAAGAGCGTGCAATTGCTGGCTTATGCCGATGACATCGACATCATCGGTAACAAAAACCGCGAAGTCTGTTCTGCCTTTTCCAAGTTGGATAGGGAAGCAAAGCGCATGGGTCTGGTGGTAAACGAGGACAAGACGAAGTATCTCCTGTCATCAAACAAACAGTCAGCACATTCGCGCCTTGGCACCCACGTCACTGTTGACAGTTACAATTTCGAGAAAGTAGAGAATTTCGTTTACTTGGGAACCAGCATTAACACCGATAATAATGTCAGCATTGAAATCCAACGTAGAATCACTCTTGCCAACAAGTGCTACTTTGGACTGAGTAGGCAATTCAGGAGTAAAGTCCTCTCTCGACGTACGAAAACCACGCTCTATAAGTCACTCATCATGCCCGTGCTGGTATATGGCGCAGAAGCATGGACAATGACAACATCCGATGAGGCGGCTCTTGGAGTGTTTGAGAGAAAGATTTTGCGGAAGATGTACGGGCCTTTACGCGTTGCTGACGGCGAGTACCGCAGACGATGGAACGATGAGCTTTATGAGCTTTACAACGATATGGACATAGTGCAGCGAATTAAAATACAGCGGCTCCCCCGGCTTGGTCATATCGTTCGAATGGACACCGACGCTCCAGCTCTGAAAGTATTCAACTCGGAACCCGCTGGTGGTAGCAGAGGAAGAGGGAGGCCCCCACTGCGATGGAAAGATCAGGTGGAGAAGGACTTGGCTTCACTTGGCGTTTCCAATTGGCGTCAGTTGGCACAGAGGAGAAACGACTGGCGTGNAAAGAAGAAGAAGAAGAACCCGTGCCACAAACGTGTCGATAACGACAGCATCACTTTGCGTCAGTGCTGCCTTTCGCTAGCCACTATTGTATAAAACATAGCATGATGCAAAACAAAGTTTCTGTTCTCACCATAATTCATAAATAAATGGAAAATAAGTTTGATTTTGTTCCTTTAAAATATGTATATATGTATGTAAAATGATAACACTGTACGGCAAAATCAGCTTTTTTCTTGGTATTGGACCAAACCAATTTTTTTTAAGAGCTTGAGTCATAGGCTGGCTTTCCGAAATCGAGATATGGGCCTCCGAAGTTCGAAATAGGACCTTTGTTAAAAAATTATATTTAATTATTACATGTAAATAACTAAAAACATAGACGTAGTCCTCCTTTTGCTCTTATTTAAATGGTATATAATTTTTTTTGTGCAAACTTATATTACAACAGGTGCTATAAGGGGTCAAAGTTCAGCTCTTCGAAAAATGAAATTCCTTATATTGCAAGCAATTTTGAACTGATTTTGAAAAAATTATACCGTTGTAAAGGTGATTAAATACCCTTTCTATAAAAATTTGAGAAAAAACACATTTAAAGGAAAAAATACATTTTTTATAAAAAAAAAATTTCACCAAAAAATTGCTAACCGATTTTTAAAAGGTTGGTATCGTTATAAAGGCGATTAGACCCC